CGAGAAAGACAGTCTGCATCCTTGTGCAAACGGCCAGACTTGTAGCTGACGCTAAATGAAAATTCCTGGAGCCTCAGAGCCCAGCGACCCTGACGTCCAGTCGGGTCCTTCAGAGAAGTCAGCCAGCAGAGGGTGTGGTGGTCTGTAATGACTGAGAATATGCGACCATATAAATATGGCCTGAACTTGGCGACAGCCCAAACTAAAGCTAAACACTCTCTCTCGGTGATGGAATAATTCTTCTCAGGAGGAGAAAGCAGGCGACTGACGTAAGCTATTACGCACTGTCTGCCGTGGTGCCGCTGAGTGAGAACTGCGCCAATACCGTGGCCACTGGCGTTAGTGCGAACTTCTGTGGCAGCAGAAGGATTAAAGTGGACAAGTATGGGGGGTAGTTAAGTAGCCGATAAGAGCGGTGAACGCTTGAGCCTGCTCAGGGCCCCATGAGAATGTGGTATCCTTTTTCAGCAAACCTGTGAGTGGCCTGGCAATGTCGGCAAAGTTTTTCACCAAACGACGAAAGTGGGAACATTAGCCGATCAAGCTCTGGACATCGGATGTAGAATGGGGCACTGGAAAGCTACGGACGGCGCGGATCTTTTCGGGATCTGGTTGGACGCCATCAGCATTTACAAGATGGCCCAGAATGGTAATCTGACGGCGGCCAAATTGGCTTTTCTTGGAGTTAAGCTGTAGCCCAGCTGTTCTGAAGACTGCGAGAATTGCAGCGAGATCGGTCAAGTGGCTATCGAAAGTAGACGAAAAGACTATCACATCGTCTAGGTAACGGAGACAAGTAGACCACTTATAACCACGCAGGAGAGAGTGCATCATTCGTTCAAATGTGGCAGGGGCGTTGCATAGTCCAAAAGGCATGACCTTAAACTGGTATAAACCATCCGGTGTAATGAAGGCCGTCTTCTCGCGGTCCATCTCATTGACAGAAATCTGCCAGTAGCCGGACCGAAGATCAATAGATGAGAAGTATGTAGCGCCGTGCAAGCGGTCTAACGCGCCATCGATGCGAAGTAGCGGGTGTACGTCTTTTCGCGTGATCTTATTGAGGTGGCGATAGTCAACGCAGAAGCGCCAGGTACCGTCCTTTTTCTTCACAAGGAGGACAGGGGAGGCCCAAGGACTACTTGATGGTTCTATTACACCTTTGTTGAGCATTTTGTTAGCTTCCACTTGGATAACTCTGCGCTCAGTGTGGGAGACACGATAGGGGCGTCGGCAAATAGTACTGGCTTCACCAGTGTTTATACGGTGCTGAACACTGGATGTTTGCTATAGAGGTCTGTCGTCGAAATAAAAAATGTCGGTATATGACGCGAGAAGGCGATGGATGTCATTGACTTGCGCAGGATTGAGGTCGGGTGCAATCATTTTCGAGAAACGATTTGGCAGAGAACAGGTGCTGTTAGCTACAGGAGACTGAAGTAAATCAATCTCGGTGGTGAGAGCCACTATTTTGAATTCGTCAGCATCAGATATGCTGGCCAAGAACATGCCACAAGGAAGCACTTGAGGGCAAAAGCTGAAATTGAGAAGTGGGAGCGAGGTACAGTTGTCAGTGACAGTCACAAGCGTATGGGGAATGGCGATGTTGTGCTCCATGAGGACGTGGGTGAGAGGAAGGAGAACATATTGAACATTGGGAACCTGTGGCTGTGTGGTCAAAATGACGCAGGTGGCTGCCTGAGGTGACAGTCGCACATCCTGAAGAGAGCACAGGCGCGGCGGGGCAGTGTGGTGTTCAGCGACTATCTGAGGCAGTTCTAGCTGAAGGATGCCGGTAGCACAATCGATAAGAGCAGAGTGATTCGACAAGAAGTCCAGGCCTAGGATAACGTCATAAGGGCAGTGGTCAATCACGACTAAAATGACAGAAGCAGTGTGGTCCTTTATACTTAAGCGGGCAGTGCACAGACCGAGAACCATCGGCGTGCCGCCATCCGTCACACGGAGCATTTGTGCAGCCGCTGGTGTCAGAACTTTCTTTTAAACTTGTGGGTAGGCTTCAACTCATGACCGAAATGCTTGCGCCAGTGTCTACAAGTGCTTGTACAGGTACGCCGTCTACTTCAATGTCTATTACACTTCGTCTGGTCGGAACGGAGAGAGGATTTGCTGCGGAAGTCGTCAATGCAGCACCACCTCCGGGGACTGCATTTCTCAGTTTTCTGAGACGATGCGGCCGGAAGCCATGGGGAGACCAGACGCGCCGTGGCTGCGACAAACGGGACGATGGACGGCGTATTTGCGGCGAATGAGACTGGTGCCCACGTGATGTAGGTGAGCGACTGTACCCAGTGTTCCAAGATTGGTCAACGGCATTTGGCTCTTCGGCTGGTGAAAAGGTGCGAGCTGTACCGTCGAAACGGGTCATATGGGTCATTGCACGAGGGGCCGATGACCATGTGTTGCGGCAGTAATGAGTAATATGTCTAACGCGGTGGCAGTTGAAACATATAGGGCGGTCATCTGCAGTTCACCACTCAGCCGGGTTGCGGGTACGTGGAGAAAACCGTCGGTTGGAGGAGGGCATCGCGAAAGGGCGTTGGCTGACTCTGGGCGCGGTGACATGGTACACGGAATGCACACTGATGTTTTCAAGCTCCTGGCGCATGATGGCTTGAACAAGAGGAACAGTAAGAGGAGTGGTATTGGTACTGCGCGAATAGAACGCCGAGGGCGCCATTGCTTCCGATTCGCGGCGAACAATGCGTGTCATGTCTTCAGGCGGGGACGGACGTTGTGGTGTGGACTGGTTCTCGCAAGTGCATCAGCCAACTGAAGTACATCAGTTAGCTGATGTACTGTACTATACCTTGGCCGTGCCTCTCAAGTAAAACAGTACATCAGCCAACCGAAGTATGGGATCCCATCTGTTCGGCACACTCACTCGTTCGAACATGGCCAACCAATCGTCAACGTCGACACCATCAGTTTCCGCAGAATGTACCAGGATCCTTAAGTGGCGTGAAAACGTATGGTTGCGACGCCGTGTTGTAGGAGACGCTGACGTTGATGCGGAGGGCTCAGCATTGGCCATGGCTGGAAAACTGATGCGACGTCCGCTGCGGAGCTTCGTTGCCTGATAGTTACCCAGCAACTCTCACCAATATGTTACAAGGTCGGTGACTACTGTACACAATGCTTTTACAGAGGAAAAGCCACAGGCAAGAGTCACATTGGCTGATTGGCACACTCGCGCGCCTCTCAGCTAATTGAGTCCTTCCTCTTTCTTTACTTCATTTCCGTAACAGTATGCTGCAGAAGAATGTCATTCGAGAATCCTTGAGTCCTTATGCGGCTCCAGTGATTCTAGTCAAAAAGAAGGATGGCAGCAGAAGATTGTGTATGGACTATTGTTGTCTGAACTCTGTCACAAAGAGAGATGTCTACCCACTTCCACGCATTGATGACGCTCTAGACTGCCTCCATTCAGCATCTTACTTTTTGTCCATAGACTTACGCTCGGGCTACTGGCAAACAGCTGTGCATCTGATGGACAAAGAAAAGACTGCTTTTGTTACCCCGGGCGGACTATATGCATTTAACGTGATGCCCTTTGGTCTATGTGACGTGACTGCTACATCTTAAAGGTTCATGGACACCATTCTGCGCGGTCTAAAGTTGAATATCTGTATGTGTTATCTTGACGATGTTGTGATCTTCGGGTGTACTTTCAGCGAGCATAATGAACGGGTAGTGATGGTTTTGGAATTTATTCGAAATGCTGGCTTGGTTCTCGATGTGAAAGTGTTGTACCTCATCAACAAGGATGGCATGAGGCCCGACCCGAATAAGACAGTGTCTGTTAGAGCTTTTAAACCACCTGGCGTAGAGAAGGAGCTTCGAAGCTTTCTGGGTCTCTCGTCTTACTTTCACCGATTTATTCCCGCATTTGATGAAGTTGCCTTTCTTCTGACCTGTCTACTCTGCCAAGGTGCTATTATTGAATGGACTCCTAACTGTGAAACTTCCTTCAACCAACTGAAGTTCTTGCTCACGTCGCAGCCTATCCTTCGGCACTTCAATCCTTCTACAGCGACTGCAGTTCACACCGACGCAAGCGGCATTGGCATAGGTGCGGTCTTGGTACAGCAATGTAATCAAATGGAACACATGATCGTATATGCCAGTCGCACAATAACTAAGCCAGAACGCAATTACACTGTGACCGAGCAAGAATGTCTCGCACTCGTCTTCGCTGTGCAGCGATTCAGCTCATACCTGTACGGTCGTCCTTCCCAAGTGGTTAGGGATCATCATTCTTTGTGCTGGCTTATCAACATACGGGATCCATCAGGCCGTCGTGCACGCTGGGCCCGCTGGCTGCAAGAGCACAACTTCACGGCAATCGTATAAGAGCGAAATGAAACACGCGGAAGCAGACTGCCTTTCTAGGATGCCGCTTCATGCCACAGTTTGCATACATGGAAGAATGATGTTTTGAATGACAGGGCAAAAACATAATTTTCTGTTTAATTACGAACTCTGCTGTTCAATATTAGATTCGCTTAGCTTCTGGCACACTATTCAATTCTCGCTCTTTTGTCAGAATTCACTATGAAGGTCTCTAGTAACAGATCACTGGCACAGGCCTTTGTCTTTCACTAGGCAAAGAAGTGAGGTGGTGGCAAACTTTGCCTACAGTTCATTGCTCCCTGCTTATTACTGATTTTATAGAGCAGCACTGTACTGTGTATATGCGTAGTCTCTTCTTGGATTAATTGATGTCATTGTATTTGACTGACTAATGATTGTTTTTTTGGTTATTAATGTCAAAACATGAAAGAAACTATGGAGTAAAATGTGCGATACACTAAACCAGCCATTTTTTTCATGCTTACGAGCTTACCTTGTTTGGTTGATATGAGTGCTAGGTGGTAAAGCTCAAGATGACGACACTTGAAAGAATCTTTTAGCTAGTCTGCGTGCCATGCTCCTTGTGGCTCAAAGGACTCCTGTAAAGGGCATTGGGTTTTCTTCAGGCACTCCACTCGAATCATTGCCAGGTATCGTGGACTCGTTTGTTGTTGCAACGGAATCCCTGGCTGCTGGCGCAGCAGCATCGGATGGCTCATCCATGGCTGTAGCTGTAGCCGAGACCACATTTGCCATCCCAGAACCTGTGGAAAGGGCAGCGAAGCAGGCAAGTGGAATTGTTTTGCCGATTTCAAGGGGAGGCTACCTTTAAACATAGTCTCCTACGATTACCTAGAGGGAACTCAGGTGCTGGAATTGTTCAGCCAGTATGGGAATGCTGGGTAGTGCACGGATTCACCTAGTGCTTGCGGGTCAAGTGTACTAGTGGCTTTGTTGTATTGTGGAGTTTGTTTCGGATAAAGGGATGGATCGTTAAGAGCTGAGTGACAAAATTTAAATCAGTGAGCCTGAAAAGGTGGTGATTTATAACTTCGGAACTTTGTCTTGTTATAAAGCCGCTTCAGGCCACTTTGAGGCAAACAGAGCTTGAACAATCAAGATTAAATAAATGCGTGTACTGCCCATTATTTCCATGCCATGCTGGCTGGAGCACCATGCATTGCTGCTCGCACAATCACCTGTGTTCCCTGTAGTAAATACAAGACACTCAGTTAACGGAAATCTCTTGAACAGAACTGTTGCCTGAGAAAATTTCATGCTGCTTGCTGTGCGCGATTCCTGGATTTGGCTGAGCTAATAGTAGCAGTGTCTAGATGCGTTTTTTCACCTTCCTCGGACGACGACTTCTTTAAAGGAGGATGGACAGCAAAGACAGGTGTGCAACTGCTACTAAATATTTTCAAGTAAACTTCACGAAATTTTGCTAGTTGCTTCGCGACAGCTCTTACTAGATGTCTTGTGAATTTGGCAAGAAATTACAAAGCCATTCTATAAGTAATAATTATATATACATTTACTTTTTCTTTTTTCAAAACATTTGTGAAAAATATTCTGCATGTAAAATGGTGAAATCTCTTCCAATTATTACATGTGCCTAGAGTATTCATCTGAAGCAAAATAATAATTGTAAGCTTTGCCATTCCTCAGTTATAAACTTAGGTGCTTGATTGACCAGAACTTTGTGACTTTTTTCTTGGAGAAACATTTTGGCAAAAATACAATTCTGGTGGCAACACTATCATCTTGCTTCAGAATGGGTGCATGCTATTCAAAAAGAATCCCAAAAGTTTGCACTTGATAACCTCATTGGTTACAGAGAAAATGTTCGTTTTCTGATGAAAAGTAGTGTTTGGAGAAAACTCCATAAAAAGTTTGAGTTGCCATAGTGCAGATAAGTGATTGGATGTGTTTGGGGTAGTTTTTAAATGCTTTCCACTGTGCATAAGAACGCATCATTTTGTGGAAGCACTTGTCGGTAATGCTGAATTACCATGCTATGAAAACTGAAAAATTGCATTTTAGTTAATTTTGCCCTCCATTTCCCCTTGAGTAAGCTTTCTCTCAAGGGAATAAACAGCAAGATGTGCTCTGTATAATGTTGCACTCTTTCACAGTTCTCAATAATTGAATAGGAAGTTTTGAATTTGGAGCACTGTGAATACAGGTGCTCATTTTTTTTATTAGGTTTGTGCCAGGATTTCTGTGGCTAAACAAGGCTGCACAGTCGGAAAAAGAATGGCTTTAACTGGGACTTGGCAAATTGTTTTCTTGGGGGTTCATCACTTCTGGAAAAAAAAAAAAACGTGCGAAACAACACAGACAGAAACGTGGCACCAGTGTTGTGTCTGTCGGTGTGTTGCTTAGCACTACAATTTTTTCCTTGAAATAGTATCGTGTTGTGAAACGTGGAGTGTGTCTGCTAGAGAATATACACTCGCACCTCGTTATAATGAAGTTCAAGGGGAGCCACAATTATTTCGTTATATCGATCATAACAGTTTGTGGCAATGTATGCTCAGATGGGCGCACACTTAAAAGCATACAAAATAGAAAACCGCCTTGCGGCCCAATGTACCGCTACGCGACCACACGTGCTGTGGAAAATAAACACTGTCAAATCTGGTTAATTCAAACACCCTTAATTCAAACTTCCGGTTAATCCAACTCACGATGAGATCTCGTCAAAGCTGTCACCCGTCCAATGGGTGACAACGCCCTGTAATTCGAATGCGCAAGCACTTGCAATGATTATTTTAAACATACCTGGCTCCGAAAATGCTTTCAGCACCATGCCCAATCCCGCGGCGGCACCTCTCAACGCTGCTCGAAAGAAGGAAAATAAGAAAAGGAAAAAAAAAAGACTGTGGCTGATTGTTTGCTCTTTTAAATGCCGATCTGGTAGTGGTTGGAAGAAGGCACCTAATTTCTGCAGCCCGGTTGGGAGCACGGTGCAGTACGTGTGCGACGCTTCTCCCTTTTCCGTCTTTGCACGTAGAGACCCTTCTCCTTTCAAGGCCGCGCGTGGACAGCGAGGGGAAAAAAAAAAGAAAGCTGTCGCAGAGAGTCCTCTTTTTTTCGATGGAGAGGGTAGCAGCGGGAATTGCTTTGCACCATGGTGCTGTTTCTCGGTCATGTGACCCGCTGAACGCTTCCTCAATCCTCTCCGCTGGCTGTGTGAGGAAGACTACTCTCTCGGCCGTGCGTGGCGTGGCTGTAAGGTCGGCGCGGTAATTTTGAAAGAGCCGCAGCAAACGAGCGTCAACCCCGCAGAAAACGATATACTTAACACACTACGGTCGGTTTTTCTTTAGATAGACAATTTGATTCACTAACTTAGTTCGTTATATTCATTTACCGGTCAATTTTACTTCGAACGAGGTTTAAAATGCATGGTTCTTAATGGAGCTTTCAAGGGGAATTTCATTTACTTTGTTATATTCATTATTTTCATTATATCCCATTACGTTATAACGAGGTTTGAGTGTAGTTCAATGATTTGGCAGTTGACCAGAATTTATGGATGTCAAAATTCAATGGAAAATAATGCATTCTATATTTGGGAAATCAGATGGGTGATATTAGGCAGCTCAAAGAGGCCTTAGTGAAAGCCCTGCTGGTCACTGTTGGACTGTTTGTGTGCCGTCTGACCCTCTTTCTTGGAACCGACAGTCGGGGTTATTGAACAAGATAAGCAGATTGGGCGAGTTGGTGACGTTTCATGATAAAAATATACAGCAGGGCTTCACTACGAGACACCGGAAAGAAGAGAGACACACGGCGCTTAACTTGCAACTGGATCCTGGGGTTATTGAATGAAAAAAGTTAATCGCTAACAGTTCCACTGATTTCGTGAGGCCATCTTATTATAACTCATCCCCTAAACCACCCAGAGGTTCAAATTAAGTATGGTGTTGCTGTCGTGCACAAGTCTACAATGAACACGCAACTGCGAGAATTTTTAGAAATGGTGCCGTAGAATAGTTGCACGCAATCTGATGATTCAAAAGTGGAGTGGGCTGCAAGGGGGAGCGTGACATGTGGTGCAGCTTTGGTACACTTGGTCGTTTTGCTGTCGCATGATTGCTCGGTAATGCATATGGAGATATTGAAGTTATGCTCCTAAAGAGTTTGCAAACAATTTATTGACATAAATGCGTTTGGCACTCGTATTGCTTTTTAATTAAGTGCATGCTCGAAAGAAGTACCACGACACATTTTAGCCGTGGATAAGTTCCTGGCTGAAACATTGAATGTTTCCTCAACAAGGGCTTCATGGAAGTGCGTCTCCAAGGGACAGGAGGAGAGGAGATCAGAATTCTAATTTCAGAATCTCACTTGGACAAAAAACACCTCTTTGTGCTGCTGTGCTGGCTACTACATATATTGGTGCGGTCAAACCTCATGACTGCAGTTAAAGGGACACTAAAAAAAAAAAGAACTTCTTGCATATTGCTAAATTGCGATTTACACAATACCAAAAACACTTTATGCGAAGGAAACAAACGCAAATTTATGGGCTCGGCTTTTTTGCTAGACACTACTAATGAGAGCCAACAAACAATGATGCCTAGGAAAGTATAGGGGATGTTACTAGAAGTGATTGTAATGTAATTGTGAAGAAAGAAAAGTGGATAAAAATGTAACTTGGCACTTGTAGGGACCGAGCCTGCAGCCTTCGAAAAAAGTGTGTGACGCTCGACCAACTGTGCTACGGCGCCTTTCCTTGACATCGTCTTTTAGTTCTCATTAATATTGCGTCTAACAAATATAAATGAGCCCTGCAATTACCACTTTTTTTCTTCATTGATAGCGAAGATCGCATGCTATGTGATGCCAACAGGCAAAAAGTGTGTTTCACACTCACCTCAATTGCTACGGATGACACTGAGTGACACTCCCACATTTAGATGCAGACGTCTACCCTTCAAAGTAAACGGAGGGAATAACCGCCTCTGTAGCTAAGTAGGTAGGGCATCGGACGCGTTATTCGAAGGTTGCAGATTTGATTTCTGCCGGCGGAAAGTTATCTTTTCATGCACTTCTTTTTCTTGACATTTGCATGACAGTTAACGCTTATAATGTTCCCCACACTTTTGTAGCTTCATTGTTTATTAGTTCTCATTATTACTTTTACCACGATAAGACGGTTAGTACGCTAAAATTATGTGCGAAAAGAAACGCTGGGTGGCTACACCAGCTTGATATTTCTGCGCTAAAAGCAGTCACATCATGAATTTTGACAGTGTCTACTGGTTCATAGGTAGTTCTTAAATGGTAAAAATGAAGTGCATCGCCCTCTCAAATTCATGACTTCAAGTGCGGCGTGAAATTTAAACATGAAACTGACTTTTCCTCCTCTAATAATGAACATATGATGGTGAAACTAACGACTCATTTGTCAATCTAAGCACATTGATTGTTTTACTTTACTGTCTGTCTAATTTAGGCAGTGGCTGCTTTTGTGTGTTCAGGCTCCCTCTGCCCAGACTACCATGATAAAAAAGGCTGGCAGCCTATTGCGCCAACCATCTTCGAAAAGTGCAGCGCCGGCTGGCAGGAGTGTTCCATGTGAGTGTTTCACCTTCCCACTGCATCACTCCAGCTATGCTTCACCTGTTGGCCGCAGGGCATACACTGTACAATGCGTTGAATTTATGAGAAGAGTGAACTGGGGGATTTGGCACTCATTGATGGTGAGAACTTTGTTTCTCTGCTACGTTTGCTCTCTCTGTTTTGATCGCACCTTAAAGGAACATAAATTTGACGCGAATTTAGACTCGACAAATAATTTTTCTGACAACTGGATTGTGGGTAAAGTCGCCATAATAGGTTGCTGATAGAACAGATAATTAGGCTAACTTTGATTTCTAGGCATTAGGTGTGCAACCTCTGCACACGAATGTCAGCACGATGTGGATTTAGAAGTGTTTAGAAGCCAGTTGACGAAACAATCCCTTCTGAAACTTGGTACATTAGGTCGTTGGCCCCTTGCAAGGACACTCCAGTACTTTAGTGTTACAGACCAAAACTTTCCTAGTGCTTGTAGAATGCAGGCAACTAAGAATGTCAAAGTATTTTAATTGTAGTGGAGCATATGCATCAACGCGTATGCGCCTTCGGAAGAGGACAAAAAGCCTGCTCTCTGTTTTTCGCGAGAACCTGTGCCGCCTTTTCCAGCCTTGCTGTACGGCTCTTTTTCGTTGCGACCTGCTTGCGACTTCTCTGATTCAATAAACCTCATTTCATTTGGTGGAGGATGCTGAGATCCCCTAGCAGACCTAAAGCTCCGCTCTCGCAACTTAGCCCAAAGACCATTGCACAAGATGACTGAAGCCGTCATCAATCAGTCCACCCCAGCTCAGCCAGCACCACCGGCTGCCCAGTCTCCCTGCCCCGGCGCTACCCGTCGACGGGACCCGCCCATCTTCAGCGGCAGTGGTGAGCAAGACTTCGAAGACTGGCTCTTCTTGTACGCATGCGTAAGCGCCAGTAACAAGTGGGAAGACTATTCTAAGCTTAGCTACATTATCTTTTACTTGACTGACGTCGCTAAGCTTTGGTTCACCAACTGCGAAACCGCGATCGCCAACTGGTCCACCTTCAAGACCCTTGTCACCGAAGCGTTTGGCCGACCAGAGGTCCGCAAGCTCCGCGCTGACCAGCGTCTACGCCACCGAGCACAGCAGCCTGGAGAGACGTTTCCCAGTTATATTGAGGATGTGCTCGACCTCTGCAGGCGTCAACCCATCCATGCCTGAAAAAGAGAAGATCCGTCAAATTCTCAAAGGCATCGAGGATGGCTTGTTCCAGATGTTGCTGGCAAAAAGCCCGACCACTGCAGCAGTCCTCGTAAGCCTTTGCCAGAGCATCAACGAATTGCTCCGTCAGCGTTGCATCGCCGGGCAGAAAGTCCCATCACAAGATTCAATATCAACCGTCGCAGTCGCAAACTGCAACGTTCACCAAGGGACCCTTTCTAATTATATTAAAGAATTTATCAGAGAGGAAGTCGCCCGACAGCTCTCCCTAGTGCCTCATAGTGACGCATCCACCGCAAGCCTGCCTTCGACACTGCAGCAGGCCATACGCACTGAAATTTGCCATGCCCTCCCTGCAGTTCCGGCCTCTTACACGTGCCCTTCTGTGCCATCTCCTCTCTTGACTGCCGGCTACCCGCCACCTGTGCCAACTTCACCTCTCGGCTACACAGCTGTGGTCGCGCGGCCCCCGCCGCATACAGGCTCGTTTTCAGCACCACCTCATCCCGCTTCGGCTTAGTTTACAGGCCCCCACCTCACTTTTTTCGTCCATCTGATGCGTGGCGCACCTATGACAACCGCCCTATCTGCATCGTGTGTGGCATTGCTGGCCATATTGTACGCGTCTGCTGCCGCCGTGCCACACCTACGTACGCCTCTTTCGGAACTCCTACCTACGCGCTGCAACATGCCCCCACATCATCGTCTGAACAAAGGCACTCAGACTCAGATCGCCCCTCATGATGTGCTCATTTCCCATCCCCGCGTCGCCGATCCCCATCACCTGTGCGTCGTCGACCACCTCCTGAGCAGGGAAACTAATCAGTGCAGTTTTGGAGGCAAGAACTGCAACTTCTGTGAAATTCTCAAGGCCTCTATTTTCACCAGAAAACGTTATTGATGTCTATGTTGAGGGAGTTGCCGCACTAGCGCATATTGATACCAGGGCTGCCGTGTGTGTGATGAACGAAAACTTTTGTGGGAGACTCAAGAAAGTGATCACATCTTTCTTTGGCATGGTGCTGTTCACAACGAGCTCGCAACGCGCAAGCCCTCAGATGTGTGTACAACGTGCGTCGTCATCCAAGACATTCTGTACATCGTCCAATTTTTCGTTGTACCATCTTGCTCTCATGACCTCATCCTGGGTTGGGATTTCCTACTTGTCACGAAGCTATCATTGATTGCTCACTTGCAGAAGTGTCCCTTGTGCCAACATGTGTATTTCCATCGCCCGACCGTTCTCCTTTGCCCTACAAACTCATTGTTGACGACGGCACCAACTTGCCTCCGGAAGCTTCAGTTCCTACCGTATATACTCGTGTAAGGGCCGCCCTCGTGTAAGGGCCGCACCCCAACTTTGAAAGCGGATATTTCGAAAAAAAAAAAAAAACAAAAGTTCAAAATGTCCCGCCAGAAAAGTGTAGTTAGTTCATTTACAGCCAGATGGCGCTGCACGCTTTTCCGCTTTTATTCTACTTCCGCCGACGCGCCGACCACGCTGTTGACAGCGCGCCGCCATATTTGCCTTGTGCGGCCTCTTTGTTGGCATCGTTCCTAGCATCGTGTCGATACGTTGGCAGCGCGACTTCAGATCGGTGTCGTCGGTGTCACTTTGTTGGTTGTAGTGAACCCTGCAGAAGCCAGCGCACGTGACGGACGATGGGCCGGCATCTGAGATCATTCACTGCAGCATTTAAGCTGCAAGTGATTGACTATGCCGAGGAGCACGGGAAGCGGGAAGCTGGACGAAAGTACGACGTCGATGAGAAGCGCGTGCGTTACTGGATGAATCAGAAAGATGCCCTCGCCGCTACTAACAGGAGCCGAAAGGCGTTTCGCGGGAAAAAGTGCAAGTACCCGCAACTCGAAAGCGAGCTCGTCAACTACGTCGTCGACACACGAAGGGACGGCTACGCCGTATCGACTGACATGATACGCGTCAAAGCCCTCAGCATCGCTCGCCACATGGAAATACCCCCGGCACAATTCAAGGCAAGTCGGGGCTGGGCTACGCGGTTTATGAACCGTAACCAGCTTTCTATTCGGCGCCGAACGACGATTTGCCAAAAACTGCCGCGCGAGTACGAAGACCACGTCATTAAGTTTCATCGCTTCGTGAATGCTCTCAGGAGGGAGCATGAATACGACCTGTCCCAAATTGGGAATGCGGACCAGACACCTGTGTGGTTCGATGCACCGGAAAGCACCACAGTGGATTTAAAAGGTGCGAAAAGTGTGTCTGTGCGCACGACTGGTGCAGAACGCCAAAGGTGCACTGTGATGTTGTGCATCACGGCAGACGGCAGGAGGCTTCCGCCGTACGTCGTATTTAAAAGGAAGACTCTCCCAAAAGAGAAGTTCCCTCAGGGAATCGTCGTACGTGCGCAAGAGAAGGGCTGGATGTCCGAGGAACTGGTCGTTGACTGGATTAAGACCGTCTGGGCAAACAGACCTGGAGGGCTGTTACAACGGAAAGCCCTCCTTGTTTTGGACAGCTTTAGGGGCCACTTGACCGACCGCGTCAAGAACCGAGTTGCCGCAACTCGTACGGACTTGGCCGTCATTCCCGGTGGCCTGACGAGTGTGCTGCAGCCGCTCGACGTATGCGTCAACAGACCATTCAAAGTGGAATTTCGCCGATGTTACTCTGAATGGATGGCTGGAGGCGTCCACGAGAAGACCCCTACAGGACGGCTGAAGCGGGCGTCGCTCCAACAGGTGTGTGAATGGATTTTGAATGCGTGGCGTGCCATGTCAGTAGAAGTAGTTGCTAAAAGCTTCAAGGTAACGGGAATTTCGAACTCCATGAACGGCACCGAAGATGACCGTCTCTGGGAAGACGCGGACGCCGAGGCGAGCTCCTCCGAGAACGAGGACAGCGAAATGGAATCCGAATAAAAACATTTCTGGCATGTCATTTGTGACTCTTGCACTCTGCTACTGTTGCATAAACAGTACAGACCTTTGGCCTGTACTGCCTGTACTAAATCGGCCTGATTCGTGTAAGGGCCGCACCTAGCAAAATTTTCGAAAAAAAAGTGCGGCCCTTACACGAGTATATACGGTATTACTCTTTCATGTGCTGCTCAACCTGACGCCACTGTGGTGTTTACGCCATCTTCAGTGTTTACTGAACGCATGAGCATTTTTCCATTCGCCATTTTCACAATTGCGTCTGGTTCAACCATAATGCTGGTTACCAACCACAGCAACTACCCCATTGGCTTACTCCGTGGTGAAACTTTCGGATATGTACAACCTGTCGATCATATCGACGATCTTGATCTTGCCGATGAAACCGCATGTTGTAAAATCGAAACAATCACTCGTGCGTCTGAGCCATCAAGTTCACCAGCCTTCAACAACGCCATTGATGAAGACCTTCCCCCTTCTCATCGCCGTCAACGTGTTGATCTCCTTAACAAGTTTCTTTCTTCTTTCGACTTTCAACAACCTTCGTTAGGCCGAACCACGACTATCAGTCAAACTATTGACACCGGCTCACACTTGCCCCTGTGATAGCATCCTTACCGCGTTTTCGCCACAGAGGGCCCCGTCGTTATGGTGCAAGTAGATGACATGCTTCAACGTTGAATTATACAGGTTTCTCAAAGCCCTTGGTCATCATGTGTTCTACTGGTCAAGAAAAAAGATGGCACCATTCGATATTGCATTGACTATCGCCGCCTAAACAAGATTACTTTTTATTTATTTATTTATTTATTTATTTATTTATTCATGTTACCCTACAGGCCCCAGAAGAGCATTGAGTAGGGGGGGTTACAGAAAAATCACAATAACATAAAG